GTAGTCTCCAACATGGGTGACGTGGGCCAGGACCAGGGACGACGTGTAGGGGGTGCACGTGCCCCCCCCGAGCGTGGCACTGCGTCCCTGGCAGCGCTAGCAGCTGGTCCACGGTCCCTGCTGGCTGGTGCCAATGCTGCCCGTGGCGGCTGCAGGTGGTTGCTGACCCTTGGTCGGCGCCTGCCGTGGGCCCCCCTCCCCTGCTGGCAGCGCCGGTGGCATCTGCGGGAGCTCCCTTGCCTGCCGGGGGCAACGTGCCGTTCATGGCCAGGACCTTTTGCTGGCACACCCGGGGCTCCTGTCGCCAACACCCCCAGCTGTGCCCCCCAGAGCTGGAGGGAACCCGGCGACTGGCCTGTCTCTTCTTGCAGGACCCCGACACCCGCCTGTCCCGGACCCTGTCCTACGCGCTGCGGCACGGTGCGCTCGAGCTGGGGCTGCACATGGGGGCAGGTAGGTGGGGCCCGTGGGCGTGGCTACACTGACCCGCTCCCTTGGGCAGATAGGGGGTCTGGTCTCCTATGGCCCTGCCTCCTCTGGCTTTGTAGGCGTGGTCACACCTTGCTCCTCCCTCCACCCACTGCGGGGGAGGGGAGAGCACAGGGCTGCCCCCTGGGGGGGAGCGGGGAGGGCACAGCCCCAGACATCTGGGTACTTGCTCTCTGATCCCCCATGGGGCTGTGGGATGCCTGGGTTTCCCGGGCTGCGCCCCCCACTCCGATCCCCTGCCCCGCTGCTGGACGCCTGGATCCCACTGTGCCCGCAGACGGGTTCGTGGCGCTGCAGGAGCTGCTGGCGCTGCCCAGCCTCGCAGGTGTGTCGGAGGGCGACGTGCGGCGCGTGGTGGAGACCAATGAGAAGCAGCGATTTGCCCTGCGCCCCGCCCCCTCTGGGGGGCTGCAGATTCGGGCCAATCAGGGACACTCCCTAGAGGTAGGGGGTGGGGCCTGGCTGAGAAGGTGTGGCCTGGGCAGGGCCTGGTGTGGGGGTGGAGCCTGGGCAGGAAAGAGGTACTTTGGGGGTGGGACCTAGCTGGGGGGTGGGGCCCATATGGGGCAGGGCCTGTCCAGGGCTGAGGGAGGGTACACACGGGTGGGGCCTAGCTGGGCATGGGCAGGACTGGGATTTGCCTGGGGGCAGAGCCTAAGGAAGTGGGCAGGGCCCAGGGGTTGGGGGTGGGGCTTAGGGCTTCCCCTGCCCCCTCAGGTGCCAGAGCTGGAGCTGACGCCCCTGGAGACGCCGGAGTCACTGCCCCCCACCCTGGCCCATGGGACCCGGCGCCGGCTCTGGGACTCCATCCGCCGCGGGGGCCTGTCCCGGCGCGGCCGTACCCACATCCACCTGGCGCCCGGCCTGCCCGGGGACGCTGGGGTCCTCAGCGGTGAGCGCCGGCCGCCCCTCCTGCATTTGGGGACAACCCAGGCGTCTGGGGAGGTGGGGGACCAGCCCTGTCCTAGAGTTGGGGAGAATCCAGGAGTTGGGGGGAATCAGCCCCTCGAGACCCAGGAGTCCGGGGGGCGGGGAGGGGACCAGGCCTCTGCTCCAGCCCAGCAGCTGGGAGAGAGCTCAGGAGTTGGGGAGGATCAGGCCCCTCCAAGAAGCGGGGGAGAGCCCAAGCCTCCGGCTCCTGCACCTCACCGGAGCCCTTGGTCTCTGCAGGAATGCGGCCAGACTCCGAGGTGGCCGTTGTCATTGATGGGCCGCAGGCGCTGGCAGGTGAGTGCAGCTGGGGGGACTCGGGCGTCCTGGCCCCTTGCCCCCACCATCTAACCCCCAGGCATCCGGGTGACCCTCAGCCCCCCCACATTGCCCCCACAGATGGGATCCGGTTCTTCCGCGCAGCCAACGGGGTGGTCCTGACGCCCGGCGATGCCCACGGGGTCCTGCCCCCCCGCTACATACTGTGTGCCCTGCAGCTGCGGCCCAGCCGTGAGTGAAACCAGGTGTCCGGACCCCAGCCCTCCCTGCCCCCCAAGAGAGCCCAGGAGTCCGGGCGAGCCAGGCTCACACTGGGGGTTGTTCTTAGCGTGCTTTATTTGGGGGGGTGGAGTAGCGAGTCAGTGTCCTTTAGCTGGGGAAGGGTAGGGGCTGGAAGCCGGGATGCCTGTGTTCCCTGGGAAAAGAGGCAAGAACTGGGGAAGATCATAGGGCAAGATTTGTTTGGGGGGGGGGCCTGCCCAGCCCTGCCC